CGACTGCAGTCGGGGTCCGAGAGAAAGAAACATCGCTAGCTCTTCAGAATCTTGGAGACACGTTTACCCTAGGGCTCCCATCCTCAAATGGAGGATTCTTCATTCCTTACTTCGGCGTTCAAACCACGCAGTCAGCAAGTTACAGCCAGGGTTCCAAGGGGACCAGCCCCAGTTATCCCAGTTACATCCATGTTTGCAACCAAGCTACTAAATGAACCTTGGTTCTCCAAAAGTGATGCCCCCCCCCACTAAAGAGAGCCGTCCGCCATGGGGCCCGTGTTTTCGCATCAGCCTTTCTTAAACCTGGCACGGATGGATGCACTTTTACTGGCACATGCGGTTTTCGGAACTATTTTTGGAGAAGGCCACCCACTGCAAGCATCTGTCCTCTCCCCGTCTGCTGGCGCAAACTATGTTCTCCAAGGATCTCGGCTTGCAAAAACATAGGTCCTTCTGACCCTTTAAAAATGAGGTCATGGCCCCCTTCTTTTGGGTAATGACCCCACTTTGAAAGGGTCATGGAGGGTCTCGGAACGGTTCTGAGCTATAGGGCGGAGTCGTCGAACGTCTGCGGCGCCATCGATACACGCGCCTTTGGGGCCTGGTCTCGGGAGGCTGAAGGAATCACACGCTTTAGCCGTCCATTTGGTTAAGACCCCTGGGAAAAAATGAGAAACGATGATTGAACATATGGGGAAGCACCTCCTAGATGTTGGTTTGGCGTGGTGGTTTGGACATTGCAAGTACCTTCCCCCGCTGGGTCTGCTAATTTTGGGCCCAACAAATGGGTGGCTCGTTGTTTTCGGGATTCGGGTCGCCCAAAATGGCTTCTGTGGTCGTTTTGGATTTCCTTTAAAGCGACAAACAAGGGGTACTTCTCGAAGACACACCCACATTATTCTTGCAAGTGGGGTGTTTATTTGAGTATGTGCATATTGCAAAGTAAGATAAGTACATGGGATGGCCCATTGCAGGGGGAGGGGACACATCGGTGCGCCTGGTTGCTTCCCTTGTTCGGTTGTTCCAGCCCCGGAATGATCAAGAGCTTGAGGGCTGGCACACCTTTCCGCCCAACATGCCACCGAACCGAGGACGAAGACATATTTTCTTTTTTTTGGCCCCTCTGATGTGTTGCGGGGAGCGTATTCGGCCAATTGTGGCCATACCTGGCCATATTTTATTTGGTGTGCTTGTATGTGGCGTCATTCGGCCTGATTTGGCTTGAGTAAGCGCAAGCCGATAGTCGCTCTTCGCAAAGCGGCTTGGGCTGACATGTTAGACCGAGCTTTCGGTTAGCGTACCCCCCTCAAAGCCGGAGAGTAGGCCCTAAGAAAGCTTCCTTCCCGGTTCTGGGCATTTCGATGCTACCTTCCTCCCACAAAACCCCATCAGACCCCATGTATCTTGGCACCTCTTCTGAAACTAGACCCGCGGGAACCAATGAAACAGCTCCAGTCAAACAACGGAGAACCTTGATCTGAGCAAATTTCGACTGACGCTCCTCAAATAAATCTGACAAGGCACCACGAGTAAGAGACCCTCGCATGGGTGAGCTTCTCCTTTACACAATTTCTCCACGTTGACGCTGAACTTACCTCTTGGACAAACTGTTGGCTGAGTGATGCTCGAATCCCTCATTCGCTGTTTGCCCATTGGAATTGTCATCCCCACACAAATCAAATTTCTTCGTCCGCTGTTAAGCTTTCTGTGAGCAGCCGCCCACGTCCCCTGCCCGCCAGCCCCTGAGAACTGCCGCCTCGTCGCCCAAGAGCGGCGACCTCGGACCCCCGCGTTCCATCGACCCAACCTCATGTAAAATAAGCTCAAAAGACATCCTGGATTCGAGGGATGAATTCCACCCAGTCTTTCCAGCCAGCGTTAAAGCCGCAATGTCCTGGTTCCAAAACAAACGTGGGCCTCTGCCTGGCCTCCAAGGAGTCGGGAAAGCTGTGGGGCCACCGGGTCCCAACGCCCCGTCCCGTGGGTCTTCTGACCGTTTTCTTATGTTCTTGTTTTTTCGGGTGGAAATAAAGGGAAAGGGAGGCCCCATCCGGGGCCATCTTTTTGGAGCTTCTGACTTTTTTCGGAGGTTCAACTTGGTTTTGCTCCAAGAAGGGCTCCCTTGTTGGATGGGCTTAGTGAAGCTGAACAATCGACTACCCACAAGGTCCCGTGTATGCCGGGTCCACAAAAGCGACGTTATCAAAAATACCCTCTCACCAAGGGTCTCGATGGCTTTTGGGCTCTCAAATCTGGTTGTTTTCAAGGGCCTGTGAGGGGTCGGGGTTCTTGCATTGGAGGGGTCATGACCCTTAGGGTCACATGCTCACTGTGAGGGACCTGCTCCCTGTGCAGACTTCCCTTTTCGGCCAAAAGTCAGCCTTCAGCCCATTGCCCCCGTCAGGCCAAGTGCCGGACCCTTCGCTGGCTGTGGTCAGCGAACCTCGGAGCCCCAAATGAAAAACCACGGCGAACCGGTAGACCCCCTAGACACAAGCTAACTTTTTGTTGCTTGAAAGGGAAAATGATGGAAAACCAAAAAGGCAAAAACATGCAAACGGTTAAGGAGGTTACTTAAGTGTGGCAATGCGCGGGGATCTTGACTTAACTGCCGCGTTCCAGGATTTTTTGGACGACTGGTAGCTCCCAGTAGTCTCTAGACAAAGATGAATATCAGATTGTTCCTTCCAACCAGCTGGTAAGATGTAGGGACACCCAAACAAAACAAGGGTTGATTCCTGTTGGACCAAGCCGGGGCTACGCAGCTTGGCCACAGAAAAGATGTCAGTCTTGAAAGGCTGGGAAAACGAGCACGAAAACTGGGCTGTCCTCAGATCCCGTGCTAAAAGTTTTTAACTTTTAGTGGGTCAAGAAAAAATATATCTTTGCAGTTGGAGCTTCCATGGGCTGTTCCAACCCCTTCGGTGTCAAAAACGCACAGGCACCCCAGTTGTTCAGTGAGCCTGGTAGAAAAAGGGGCAATTGTTTGTGGGGAAGCCACCAAAGAGAAGGGGAAAAAGCGTGCCGCTACTGAGCCTGACAACTGGCCCATCTTAGCGAAAATTGCAATGCCAAACTGGGCATTGCAGCCTTAACATGTCGATCCGCTTCGGGCACTAGATGGCACTAGAGAGCCAACAAAAATTGCCAAAGAACAAAAGAGTGTGTGTGTGATTGATTGCCTGCATGGCTGGCATCTCCAGCATGACATCACCGCCTTCTTGTTGAGGGTTCCCCTTTTCTTGTTGTTTGGAAGGGGAACCAAAAGGAAAACCGAAGCCAGCTTGGGGGCCCAACCTGCAAACATGACGAGCTACAAACACCGCAATCGCCTCACGCGGCGTGGACGCCTCAGCGCCGCACGGCGCTGCTGCGATACCTGGCGGCACGTCAGATGGGTTCTCAAAATCAGACCCCGACATTTGGGCTGTGCTATGAATGAACACGGGTCAAAATAGGAGGCCTTTAGCCTAAAGATCGGATTTGTTTCCTTCTTTTTCATTGAACTACCCAAGGGTTGTCAAACTAAGGGCTCCTTGTTTCGTATCCACCTGACCAGTAGGTAGAAAAAGCAGCAATCAATTGTTAAGGACCTCTATTTTGATAAGCCCGCAAGTGACAAAGGGGTACTTCCCGCTTTGGATTGCATCCCTTTTGCCCAGACATGTGCAAGTACGCCAGCCCCAAGCAATGAACATGTACAGGGCATTCCTTGCTCCCACAAATCCTGGAGCCACAAACTAAGACAACAAAGAAAACATGCGTGTTCTTACAGTTTGCATTTGGACAAGTCAATGATCCATCCCATAGCTTGAGATTGCTAGTTTGCTTCCTGGACCCAGGACCCATTGTATAAAGCAGCATTCTCCAAAAACAAACGGAACTGCTCCCACACCCCCACACCCCCCATCCCAAACTCACTGACCCCGAAAAATCACCTCCCTTCTACCAACACAGCCAAGCGGCCTTGGATGCTAAATAGGGGGTCTTGACAAAAAGGAAAATTCCATACCCCTGTAGTTTCTCTTTGGACAAATGAAAAACCAAGTGGGCGATTTAGCACCCAAAGACCATCCCATCTCATCCGACGCCCTTCTTTTACGCGCCGACTTCCACGAGGTCACTTCTGTTGTGTAACTTCCTAGACCAAGTAGCGAGATGAGTCGACCGATGCTGTGCTTGAAGCTGGGCCCATGGTGACATGAATCTATAGCCGTATGGCTGCATGTGTTTCTTGAGGGACAGTACTCTTTCACCTTGGCAAGGAAGACTAAAGGAAAGCCACCTATTTTTTAGGGTCTCCCTATCTTGACACGCTGCAGGCACTTCATCCGCGCGTGCATATGGCCAGGTCACATCTCCGCCCGCATGAGTTGTCAGCTGCTTTTGGATACCTACAGTGTTTCTTCCTAAACATGTGCCCTAAAATGTGGGTTCCCCTTCCGGGTTGGCTGCTTTTGAACTTTTCCGGGGTACCTTACAAGATGTTTCCAACGAGGCAACCCCATGCACCCCCTGTTGGTTGTGTACACTTTGGGGGTACTCGTGAGCTACTTGTTCATTGAGCCTCTCCAAGGCTGCTTCTCCAACCTTCCACCTCGCTTTCTGTTAGATGCCTGGTGGCATCAGACTCTGTGCCACTGGCGCAGTACAGGGGCCTTTTGGCCATAGCTTGTGGCCTCCCCTTTTTCGACTCCTACCACAAACCAAAGGGATCTTCCAAAACCAGCTGGCTACCAGGGGATCCTTTAAAGTCGCTGGTGACAGTGATTTGTCCACTGGCCCCTTGTGATATCCCTTGAGCTTGGTAGACGTTGGAAGAGGAGCAACAAAACTGTAAACTTTAGCAGTTCAACCACTCAACCACAACAAGCAAAAATGGGGAAAATGGTTCCCAACAACAACCATGTACTGTGGATGAACAAAATTCGCACAAGGCACTAGTTGGGATGGGTGAACCCCTACTGGGTGAAACCCGTTGTGGTGTCCCTTGATGGGGCCCCTTCTGGCAACTCATTCGCGTCGGAGTTCGTTGCCGGCCGCGATCTCACAGCTTGCGGATGTTGATCTGAATCTGCTTGGCCGCAGCCGTGGCCGCCGAAACCAGCTTGGGCATGGCCTCGATCCCAAGCCATACATACAATTACTGGGTATTGACCCCATTTAGGCACATTTCCGGATAAAACCGTGTTATTTTGAACCATTCTGGGTCATTTCCCAAGGGTGTAATCCCAGGGTGTAATACAAAAACCCTCAGAGTCGTGGACATGTTGAGGCGTTGTCTTCCTAAGTTCCTTTTCTCACTTCCGGAGTGGATTGGCCAAAACGAGTCCAAACTTGTTTGCCGCTAAAATGGTCCGACCCCAAAAAGGGACGGACGTGCAGGAACTCAGGAAGTGAGTCTGAGGGAAGCTCTGAGAATCGGGGAGAAAGATCCCATTGACTTCTGAGTCTGGACCAGAGAGCTGGTTGTATTTCCGCCCAGGGCTAGTTGCTCATGTGAGCCACTTGGGAACAATGAGTGAGTCCACCAAACGGTCCACGATAAAAAAAAAAGTCATGCTAAAACAGGCAGACAAAACCAGGGGCCTCAGCTCCCACTCAAACACTGGCATATCCAGGTTCAGGTAGACAATCACTTCAGAACGCTAAAAAAAATCACTTGTGAACGCTGCCACTTTCGATCACTTCCGAACACTAAAAAAATCACTTCAAAACACTGAGCACCCGGAACGCCGAAAGGGTTGCAAAACCCGGTCAGTCAAAAAGATCACTTCCGAACGCAGGCGTCCCAGCCCAGGATCACTTCCGTACGCAGGCAGGCGTCCCAGCCCAGGTGTGCAAAATGTAGTGGTTCTGGGGGGGGTGGGGGGGGGGTGATAAGCACACCCGCTGAAGCTCTATACCCAAATGTGCAAATTCATCTGGTTCTGGGGGTGGGGGGTGGGGTGGGGGGGGGGCATGATAAGCACACCCGCTGAAGCTCTATACCCACAATGTGTGCAAATTCATCTGGTTCTGGGGGTGGGGGGTGGGGTGGGGGGGGGGGCATGATAAGCACACCCGCTGAACTGCTTCACCAGCAAGGGTGTGCAAAATCCAATCAATTTGTTCTGGGTGGGTGGGTGGGTGGGTGGGTGGGTGATGATAAGCACACCCGCTGAAGTGAACCAGCCCAGCCTGCTCTGTAACCAAATGTGCAAATTCATCTGGTTCTGGGGGTGGGGGGTGGGGGGGGGGCATGATAAGCACACCCGCTGAACTGCTTCACCAGCAAGGGTTTGCAAAATCCAATCAATTTGTTCTGGGAGGGTGGGGGGGGGGATGATAAGCACCCCCGCTCAACTGAGCTCTAACGAGGGCAATTCTCTGCGGCTCTGCAAGCTGCTGTGAACATGCGGTTTCCGAAGACAACACCTGGTGGGTCCCTCCCTTTCTTTCTCCCCCAAAACAAACAGAGTTTCCCCAAACATACCCCAAACTTTGCTCTAGGTCAACGAGGCCAAACGCCAGGCTCTGCAAGCTGCTATGAAAGCGCGTGGACGGGCGCCGATTCTTCTGGCCCTAGCGTTCAAGAGCGAAGCGCTCGCTGGTCTCGGTGCAGCGCGTGGCATGCGGCTGCGCTTTCAGCGTTCGTAAGCGACTAGTGCGTTTTCCGGCGTTCCGAAGCGATTATTAATCAGCGTTCCGAAGCGACGGTTTTCCCAGCGTTCAGGAGCGACGCACTCACCCAGGTTCAAACTCCCCAACCACCAATACAAATAGGAATTTGGCTTACCTGACTTGCTGTGGATGGGCAAAATCCTGCACTAGTTGGTTGGTAGTCTATCCCAGTATTTATATTGAGTTTCATCCATCCCACATGACGAGTACTTGGCTGCGGCTTAATGGCGCCTTGCCAACTCCAAGCAAAGACCATCACCTGCATGACCCTAGCTCTGTTTGTTGAACCACTGCCAATATGGGGGGCTACCCTTCATGACAAGTAGTTATGGATTTCATCCATCCCAACAGACAATTGGCGTCGGGGTTCGCTCCAAAGTACTGTGATGGACGAAATCCATTTCGCACCACTTTGACACCATGGTGGAAACCAGTATTGATTGGTATTTCCTTTGGGGAATCGAAACAGAAACCAGGGCTTCTGAACGGTTCCTTTTGCGAGAAGCGGACTTCGCCCAACCATCCACAGTGTGATCTAGGGACGCTCCAACTACGCATAAGAAAGGGAATTCACCCCATATTCTTGGGGCAATCCGAACTGCAACTGGCCTAGGTCCTCCAGTAGAGAGGATAGAATAAGGGTACCAACTTTTTCCTGTAGTCCATTTTGGTAGGGGAACCCTCCCAACCAACAAAGAAATGGGTGAGAAAGGGCACCCTTTCGCTGGGGGACCCAGTGGTGCAGGATTTCGCTCCAAAGCATGACAAGTGATGGGACAAAAAACACAGGGGGAACAAAAAAACAGGTAGGGAGTGAGAAATGGGATGAACCTGGGGATTCCCTGAAAGGGATCGAGCCACCAGTGGGATGGTTTTTTTTTCGGGGTTCCGTTTCTCCTTCCCCGCCGGGCCGGTCCATCGCCGGGGCGCCGAGGTGGCGTAGCTCTTCACGCGCGCGTGGGCCTTCTGGCGCTTCAAGTCGCTGCTCAGGTCATAGGCGCAGGACAGGCGCTGCTCCCCTCCCCGAATCGCCCCCGCGCGACGCGAGTCGGAGGCGCGACTCGAGCGACGTGTGGGGGATTTTTGGGAGGGCGGAAAAAGAGTAGTCGAGTGGAGGAAAACAAAGGAACCAAACAGCAAAGGCATTGAACTACCTAGAGTCTCCTTCTGACCCTTAAAAAATGGGTCATGAGCCCTTTATTTTGGGTAGTGACCCCACTTTAAAAGGGTTATGCAGAGTCTAGGTATACGAAAAGTAGTCCAAACAAATGGTTGAAACGTGTCTTGCGAAACAAACGTAGCATCCTTTTGAGTTTTTAGGGTAGTGGAAACCTTCTCAAATGATACGAGTACAACATGGCGAACATGCCGAGGGTGGGTTGACTCACTTGGAGGGATGTACCAGTGTTGTAATGAATGTTACCAACAACTTTCTACTGCCGAACGGCGAAGCAGGGTTTGCCTTTAGACGGATTCCCCCCTTCTTTGAAGCCCAAGTTGAATTCCCTCACAGAAACCCACCCTGTTAGAGGTCCCGGTATTTCCTGAAGAAAAATACAAGGCACCCGGGTTTCTTTTGAAGTATCCTCTAGAAAGGTTCTACGAGTCTTTCCTGGGAATGGTCTCAGTGTTTTGCCTCTTTGGCTCGGTCCCCGAAGTAATGCCATGGATACCTCACATCCTGAGTGGATTGGCCAAACAAAATCCAAGCTCTTGTTTGCCACTAAAATGGTCCGACGACAAAAAGTGACAAAGCTCCAGGAACTCGGGGAATGAGTTCTGCGGTCCGCAGCCTCTGTGCACAAGAGCCTGTCAGGTGAAGTTCCTGGCTTCCGAGGACCAAACCCATGTGCCGACGTTGTTGCTTGGTGCTTCGAAAGCTCCCCCCCTTCCAACACACAAACACTCTTAAGCCATATGTAAGGCTGGGTTGCTCCTTTTTGCCGCATTGTCATTCCCTTTGGTTCATGGGTTTTGGTGGGGTGCTCGGGTTCCAAAAGCTTCGGCAAAGGTTGCCCAGCAAACTTCGCGTGGCAAGGGATGGCGGACGCCTTGGAAATGGCAAGTAGCGGAATAGATTGGAACCCCCTTGGCTTGCCAATATTTTACCAGGAAAACCTAAACACTACCAAGACTTACCAGCAGACAACCACAATTTAGCCTGTACCCAATGGCTCCACCCCCCCTCCCCACAACCCAAGATCACCTTCTTAGAACGGCTGCTCGACATATTCTGAGACTCACCATGGGTGGATAGCCGGGGCCTGCTGATTCGCCATGTTCACCGTTCCCCTGAGGTGTTCATCCACTTTTCGCCCGCCTCGCATCACGCCATCGCGGATGTACACGATAGCGCGCCACCAGCTGCCCTGCGGGAACTCCTTGCAGCATATGAAAGCGTCGCTATGGGAGTGGCCCGCATTAAGCGGGGGGGTTCAATGATGGTGACCTACAGTAGATGGACAGAAACAGCAAAATAACCCCCTACTCCAAGCACCCTCTTTTTTCAGGGTATGATGTCGACCCTCCACTAAAAAAGATGGTATTTACCATGAACACCCAGGTTTTTCACAAAAAAAAACCCTAGAAAAAGTGGGTATTTGGAGCAGGGGGAATGCAACATCCTCAAGCAACAGATCCATTTGCTGTAGCAAAAGACACCCCACAACACTTTTGCTGTGTATTCGCGAGAGAGCGGATACACCAAACACACAACGATGGGCTGTAAGTTCTGGTCATTGAGGGCGACAATTCCCAAGATTCCGATATATTTGCACAGGAAGAATCATGAAGAAAAGCAGGCCTCCAAGATCCTGTCAGCTGAAATGATTGGCGGGTGGGCCGGTTGCAGTTCCATCCCCCCCCCCACACAGAGAACGGTCACAACTTGAACAAAGGCTCTTCGGTGTGGGAAATCCGCCCGGCGGCGAGGAAGAAAAGAACAAAGAACCACACCAAACATCAACAGAGTCACAAGAAACGAAACAAAACAACCGAGTTGAACTACCCAAAGGCTCCCGAGGTATTTCGGGCCCTCAAACGGCCAGGTTTTGAGACCCCCAATCACCGATTCTCGGGGGTGTCTAATGGACGGGTCTTCCATTGAAAGCCGCAGCCAGGAGCCTCTGGGTAAGAAAAAACACGCAACGCATGTCAACAGATTTGAAGGGGACCTCAAGACACCGGTGAGTCACGGCTAAGGCAGCTGAGACACCTGATTGGCACACCTGGGCTGTCGAAGGCTGGCCCCAAAAAGACGAAGTTACCCAGAATCCCCCCCTCCCCCCCAAAGGAAAAACCGGGGCGCGCTTCTTCTTGGTAGTTGAGTTTAAAGGGAAGCCACTCTCAAACCAAAGTTGAACTGGCACTGGAGGTCTGGAGTTAAGCCTTTTAATGCCTTTGCAGAACAGCAAGGAACTGCAAGGATCAATGACCAAGTTCCCAAGCAAAGTCAGCTGGCAGCCGTGCGTTGCCCTCCCCACCATGGAGCATAAAAACAGCTCATTGAAGAGGAACATGGTCTTCCAATCGGATTCCGTGCGAGTTGGCGGGGAGGGTAGCGTCTCCTTGCCACACGCCTCCCGCTTGCCTGGCTGAACAACAAGTCCACCCCCATGTCCACCACAGTGTCATCATCTAATCATGGCATACCCGTGAAAGCGTGGAGCGGGTTGCTCAACCTGCCCCTTTTCATAGTATCCACTTGAAGTTGCGCCCCCATTCGTTTCGACCAGTTTTCTGTTCAAGCAGCAGCTGCCTGTCTGGAACCCAGGATCGATCCCTGGAATAGGACGGGTGTCCCTGGAATCAACAAGATCTCCAGATGGTATGCGTAAACGTAGGGGGTCAAAACTGTGATTTTTTGTTTGGCTCCCTTTAAGCCAAGCCAAGAAGGGCACCCAAGAGCACGCACCTTCATGACCATATGTAATATTTTGGCCGCCGAGTGGCACGATGTGCTTGGCGGTGTCCTCAGCCTAGGACGGGTGCGCATCGATCCCTAGCCCCAAACGAAAAAGCATGGGGAGACCCCGCCATAGAATATGTCCCTTGTGCTCACAAAGAGGAACATATGTGGAGAATGGTTCTTAAAGGAAAAAACAACACCATACATATAAAGGCTGCACAAACCCGAAACCGGAAGTCCGAACTCTGACAGGATTCGTGGCTTTGATTCACCAAGCTGATCCGCGGGAACCAACCATCGTCAAAAGACGTGGTCCTCGTTGCCTGCGAGGGGGTAAACGTATTGAGACCTCCTTCAACAGGGGTATACCCACAAAGCGTGTTCTCTGGAAACATGAATGGGGCAGGCAAAAATAACACCTACCTCCAAAAGGAACTAATTACTCTCAAGAAACATCCCAACAATTTCGGGAAACATGTTTCCCAACAACCACGTAACCCCCAACCCCAATCTTCCCATTCTCTCAAAAAATCCACTGAACAACTGAGCACACATCCGCACGCGAAAGCAGCGCGCACGCAGCGTCCACCAGGCCACGCGGTTCGTTTCCGAGAGGCCAAGGCCCGGAACTGCGCCATGTGCCGCTCCTGCACCGAGCGCCAGGTGTTCTCCAGCGTGGGGAACCTCCCGAGAACCCCCAGCCAAGCCGCGTCAATCCGCGGGTCTCACAACAGGAACGTCTGTGGGGGGGGCCCTCAAAATGGGGGGCGGGAAAATTTGGGGGTATGTCTCCAAATTGGTGGACCTCAAAATATGTTAGTGTCTTTCGGGACCCTTTAAACCAACACAAAACCATTCGGCCAAAGCTGTGTGCCAAACTGGGCAACCCCCTCATGGTTGGTTTCCGTTTGCTGAACCTCTTAGCACCCAAAGAAACACCTTTCAAAAAAAGAGGCTTCGGAGTTGCGAACTGTGGGGATGAAACGTCAGAGACACAGCCAAGAGAACCCCCGAACGTGACGAGCCCATTCGTGTGGAACTTGGGTTTGAAGGGAACTCCCCCAAACATGGCAACACCAAGGTAAAAGTAGATGTTCCTTGTTATGTGGACGAGCCAAACGGATATAAAGCCAACATTGGCAAATTGGCGCATCCTCGTTCAAGAGAAGTTTTGCATGGATGGTCTCTCTCTCCCTCAGTGCCACGTTGGATTCAACAAGCATTGAAAGTGAACCAGCAAATCCCACCAACGAAGAGGAGCTCAACTGCTCCCTGCTTGCAGATTTTGACCTTTTTCGGTGCAAGTAGCAAACCATAGCGACTGGAATCATCGGGGTGGGACATCTCTCTCTCTCTCTTTCTCTCTCTTTCCCCCCTTATGATTTCTTGTTCTCTCTCCCTCTCTCTCTCTCTTCCTCTCTTTGTTTAGGAACCTGTTTAAGTCCGTGTATCTGCTACAGTATTGCCTTCCTTCATGTTAATTTGTTCATCGAGTTGGCCATGTTCATGCATAATATGTACTTATTAACATGCTCTGGTGTATTCTGTTCTTTTGCTGGTTAGCTTGTTCGTCATTGTGACATTTGTTTATGCCATGTCTGCATGTGTCTTTAATTGTTTCTCTCAGCATTGTGTTGTTCTTTGATTACGTCCTGTCTGCTTGGATGTACTTCTTTTATCGGTTGCTTTCTGCACCCCTGCAAAAAGTGACTAACCTTTATTGGTGTAATACGGAACACCCATTCGTTGGCAAACAGTTCAAGTCCTAACATCCCTTGGCAAAATGCACCAAAGAAAATAATCACCACCCACCTTAGAGTCCACCACCCACCGTAGAGTCCAAATGCAACGCAGTTTTCTCAGGTCTCTCTAGACCTCGCTGTCTCTGAGTCTCTTTCCCTCCCTCGGACTCCCTCCCTCTCGAGAAGTGCCACCAGGGCCCATCTTTGGCCCAGACGTCAAAAGCGAATTTCTAGGGGTGGAGTCCTTCTCCATTCTCAAAAACCGGCTGTGTTCCTGGGGTTTCTTTTGGCTTCCTGCAAAGAAGGATCCCTGCAAAGAATGGGGAAGGTTCTAGAAAATGAAGTCAGGGACATCGGGGAATCATGTCGACAATGCTTTCCCAGAGGCTCCTTGGGCCTTCAATGAAAGACCCGACCCCTCCATTAGACACCCCGGAGGTGTTTGGAGGTCTCAAAACCTGGCCGTTTGAGGGCCCTAAATACCTCGAGAGCCTCTGGGTAGGCCCTAATCCGTTTTGCTGCAACGGCCCCTCTGCAAAAAGTGAATTTAACTTGTTGTGGGTCCAATATGACAACTGAAAACTGTTTCAACCAACAAGTTAAAGGCCAAAGATCCAACTAAATTGCCAGACACTTCTATCACCGGTATGTTGTATCGTTTCGAGAGGAGGCCAGGTTTCTTTTACCCTCCCAGCCTCATAAAAACTGACAGGTTTCTGGAGCGACCTTCTCTTGGTTGCTGTCGGCCCCCCGGGTCAAATGTAATGATCCACAAATGTTCAACCAAACCGTTAAAGCCCAAAGATCCGTTGCCAAGTAGCAACATACAGCTGGGTGCGTTGTCGTTTGCTTGAGTTGGTACCCCACTTTGTTGGATGTAAGTGAAACCAGAAGGAACACCAACCATTCTTGGAGGTGCCCTAAAAAGAAGGCAGCCCAATGTAAAATCCCTGCTTCATGGCAACCTGAGACTAACCTGCTCCAAAGGCGCCAGCGGCAGCCCATGCGGGCGAAGAGCAACAGCTGCTTCTGGAAGCCTCAGAAATTTCCGGCCGACCTCAAACACCTCATTTGGATAGACTTTAATGCTTCGGATTTTTCATGAGGATGCCTCAGAGGGACCCTACCCACTAGAGGGTAACCCCATGTGCTCCAGATTGAATCGACATCCCTATGGGTGGTCTGCATTTGGCTTTCCTGTGAAACAACCCCAGAAGCATACTTGAAGGAATGCCAGGCAGTACCTGGCTTCACGTCAAGCGAAGAACTTTGTGCTCTACCCATAGAACTTGGATCTCGAACCCAGCACCGTCCTTGAGGCGGCATTTGGAAGCGGCCACGCTAAGTCCTAAAATGCTGAGCCACCCCACGCAGTGCATCAGGCCCGATTCACAATCAACATATAAAAAGGAATTTACGCTTTTTGGGGCCCCCATTACTTTCGAAGCAAGACTCTAATCTATGGCGTTGTGCACTCCCGAACACTCGCCTAGGTCAAATCGAGGTGTATACCCTATGGTGGCTTTGTTCTGCATATACCAACCGGGTTTCGGTAGCTTCGGGCTGGAAACCGTCGATCCGAAAGACATAGCAAGGGGTTGTCACTCGCCACCCGCAGCCAACAGGCCACACCGCGGCTCCCCGTCTGGCTCGGAATCATGAGAAAAAACCGAAGGAAAGCACAACTCAGCCGTTCAGTCGCGCCTTTTTCTTCCAAAGCCAATGAAGCAACACCCTTGACCCCTCAGGATGTAGTCTATCACGTATTTGCAGAGCTCGACAGGGTTCCCCTTCACAACCAGGCGAGTCTCCCTACATCTCGACAATTTAAGGCAACCACGCGCAAGGGTTCCCTCTGCTTACTTCCTGAGTGGATAAGCTCAGAAAAGCCCAAACCCCCACGAAAACAATCTTCGCCAAAGGATCGAGTATCAAGTCCATAAACAAGGGGAGTATGCGGCCCCTCGCAAAACGTCAAACCACGCAATATGCTTTTGGCTGCTGTTTAAAGAAGTACTCTGGAGACCCTGTTCAGTCTAAAACGGCTAAATCTACGATAAAGGTGAAAACCTCACCGTGGGTAGGTCCAACACGGCGATCCATTTCGCAATGGGAAATGGCATTGCATCTGTTGCAGCCGATGGAAAACGAGACCCGCGCCTCTCGCCGAAAAGGGCGAGAATGCCCATCTGAGTGCCAAACCGAAACTTGATATGACTGCTTCGGCCATGATAAAGGTTTACGTCAAGCCCTAAGGGCCCTCCTAGTAAATCACACTCTTGGTTTTTGGGGGGTGGTTTCATTGGTTACCGACAAAAGCAGGGAAATAGAATCAGTGCATCTACCAGGATCTAATAAGCAACGGATCTACACCATGGCGGTTCAGGGGTTTCGCTCGTCATACAATGGGCAGAGAGTTGTACATGTCACCAGACTTTCCATAATTGAAAGGGAACTCACGCCAGCTCCTATTTTACCAACAGGATGAAACACAAAATAAGCGAATTTGACCTCCTAAGCTTCTGCTAGCCAAAGGTAAGATTCCCTTGGAGGCCCAAAGAAGGATTCCAAGCTTGGCTGCTGCTTGGTTGGATCTTTAATTTGTCACTTTGGGAGGAATCATGGCTTTTCATTTCCCCAAGCGAAACAACAACTTGAACAAACCCGCCAGTCATGGGATCCCAACCAATGCCATTTGAGCAATTTTTCTTTGTGTGGACATGTTTTTGTGGCCCTCTGACTTGGGTTTCTATGGCGTTCGGATGCGTTCGCTTCGGCACTCGGTGTCTACTTCTTTTTCTCGTAGATCTCTTTGGCCTCCTTGTAAAGCTCTTTGCCTTCTTGGCTCTTGCCGCCCACCGGCCTCGCAAAGCCCACAGAAAAAAGGGAGCCATCCCACAAAGAACAACGAGGATCTGGCCCAAACGAATTCAGGTCGAAGGGGAGACTTGGAAACCCGAACAACCATATAAATTCATTGCACAATTACTTGGGTTGCTGCAACGCCTCTGCAAAAAGTGTCGCTTTTTTGCGGGCTCAATACGGAAAATCCCACCTGTGACCAAAAAGTTCAAGTCCAAAGATCCGTTACCAAATGCCACAAAGATACAAAGGAACCTTCATGGGTGAGCCGGTGGCTCGTTGAAGGTGGGCTGGTTGGCTACACAAACGTTGTCCGAAGCCATCGTTGCACGTGGCTTGCACGGGGCCTCAGACAAAATACCGGGGGCCGGTCATGACCAGGCCTCAATCAAAGGTCTTCCAAAGAAACTAGCAGCCAGTGCAGGTACTAGACTTGGACGCCCCTCCTTGTGGGGTGCAAGAAGAAGAACCCCAATTTCCAATGCATAGCATGGGTTTCTGGAAAAGCATATACCGCATACCCAACTCTTGGACAAGGAAGAGGGGTCCTGGCACTAGACCAGGTTGGCCTTTTTCACGATAGTGGAGGCCCATTTAAGAAGGTAGGTGATGCCCGGAAAGGCATGCCCCAAGCTGTGGGAAGGACACAAGGTACCGGTATCCTCAAAAGCCCCTTGAAAGCTGTAGACCAGCAAAAAGTGGTTTAACTATTGGTTGAAAGGAAATATGAAGGGAATCCAACAAGTTGAAGTCTAAAGATCCAACCCAGCGGTAGAGTGTTGAGCCTCTTTGGAACCGAGTCTCCTTTTGAACCCCTGAAAGCGGACGTCCAAATCCACCCCAACGAGCCGATCTGAGCGACCTCATAGAATGCTGCTGGGAAAAAGGAATCGATGCCACTGAACAAGAGGACGTGATGGAAGTGCCAGCAACATCCTCACCCTATCTTGCTCTCGCCAAACACTCACCTTGAACAAGGTCGTGTTCAGGGCGGCTTTCTTTTTCGGGGGGAGGGGGGGGGTTGGGAGAAGTGAAGGGCATCACCCCCAAGTGAAAACAGATCAACAGATCCATGGGGCGCCTGAAGCCGATCACGGCCAGCTTGTCCCTGGCGGCTTTCACGGCATCCACCCAGCTGCTGAGGTACTTTTGGAAGCTCCGCTTGCCCTGCTCGTGCCTGAGCCCAGGACAGGCTAATCAAGCACGGGGATCAAAAGGCCGGAGCCTGGCAGCTTTTTTGAGGCAACCCTGAAGCAAAGTCGGGAGCTTGGACATGCGGTCTGGGAAATCGCTCATTGAAAGAAGCTTCATGATGGCATGATGCCACTGCCGCTCAGCCAATTGGGAATGCGTAAGAACACCTTGGATGAATGGCATGATGCGAGCTGGGTGCTGCTTGATACTGATTCTCAACGCCTGGACTCACACAAAAGGTGCTACTGAACCTTTTCGAGGGACTCAACAGAAAATTCATGAAAGCCGCAAAACCTGTATAAGCCTTAAAAGGCTACATAGTTGGGAGGTTGTGGCTTGCCACCTCAATCAGAGGTAACCCGTATTTCTGGCAAGGGGGCATGTGTTTATCAAAGCACCCACCCAACTCACCAACGAGGTAGTCATACGCTGAAACCCATGCACAGTCATTCAGCACACACACACACACACGCACGCGCGCAAGCAAAAAACAAAAAACAAAACAAAAAACAAGGCCGTCTAAACCCTTCACAATTGGTCCGCTTAAGCAGCGGCCAACAGTACCACGAGAAATGTCCGGGCTCAAATGCACGGCCATTCTCCTCCGAGTCGCTTCTTCTTGGAAACCACCCGCCCGCGCTTGTTCACGATCAAGTCTTCCTGGCCGAACTCCACACCAACGACCAGTCGGCTCAGAAACATATCATCCCTTCAGTCCTGAAAGTAACAAAAAGGGCTAGATCATAAAACACACTGTTGTCCTACGGTCAGGACGTAACTGGCCCTGAGAGTCAACTAGCCACGAGATATGTCATTTGATCGTCGCAGGGAGCATCGTAAAACACAATATGAATAAATACACAAACACATAACAGAAGACACAATACATAAATGACTAAACAAAAGAAACACATATCGACATTGTACATGTATGTAATTGCGTCACCGACCCCAAGAAAAGGAGTCTGTTGACCGTGGCGCATGGCGTTTGTCCAGGGATGGGCTCAATCAATCCCGCGGAAGACCTTTCAGGACTGTAATTTACGGATTAAGCAGCCTATGTTTATTTGAACATGGGACTTGAGATCTCCCTTCTCCCCTTGCTTTCCAGAAAGGCCCAAATTTACGGCCAGAAGCCCCTGGATCGAAACCAGGGGGCTAGCCCCGTATATTTCTGCACCGTTCTCCTTGGTGAGGCCGCCTTTCGTCTTCTTCCGCATGCCCTGCATGACCTCCTTCCGAGCCTTCATGACCTCACAAGTCTCGGCAACCAAAGGGGCGCCCTGTTCGGGTCGCTTTTCGGTTGACGTTGGACATTGGAAGGGGGCCAAAAGATGAAATTCTAGCAGCTACGTGGGGTATTCCCACTAAACCACAATAAGCAAACATGTAAAATGTTGCCCAACAACAACCATGCTTTGTTTGTGGAAAAGACACGACTTGGACAAAAAATGGCTTCCAATAAATTGGGGGGAATATCACCGTGGTATAGTTGCCAAAGTTTTCTCGCTAGGTTGTGTGGTTGATCAACACCAGCCAAAAAGGATATATTTCGGGTTCTGCCTAATTTGGCCCATTCCCTCTGCTGGAAGGGGTTCCCAATACCTCCACACCAGGTCATAGAACAAGCGGGGTATGCTCAGCTTCCCTCTAATCGGCGGATTGGAGCCCAATGATTTGGAGGGCGGTTTCCATTCACCCTCTTCACGAACCAGAGCTTCAAACCTCCACAACACCTAGCTACGTCAGGGTTGCCTAACAAAAGATCATAAAGGCAAAATGGTGTATGCAACTGGCAGATAGACACCTTGCCATGGTTAAAAAAAACAAGGCAGCAAGATAAACAAAGCATGGCACCAGGCAGACCAACGGACCGTTAACAAACAACTTTCACTTGACCCAAAATCCTCTTCAAAACTCGGCTGACTAGCCAAAAAAGTGTAAACCTTTCGAGCTTGGACTAGACATGAGCAAGAAATCT